AGAGTGTGTTATAAAATGATTAACTATCAGCATAAATCCAAATTTTTGTCATGTTTATGCTTAAAATTATGCACATATGGATTAAAAGAGGATGGAAATGCATTTCTTTCTGGAACACAAAAGCATCTTAAAGAAACGGTTCACACAAATATGAAAATTGCATCGACGCAAAAGATAAAGATCCTGGCTGAATATGACACGGGTTTGAAACGACACGAGAGTGAGTAAACAGAGTTCATCCTAAACATTTCCAGAAGAGTCCGATGTTTGAAGAAAGAGGCCGAGGAGGAGCTCCAACGACTTCCAGCTTTTTAATTATTCAATTATCTGTGCGAGGACGAGCGGCCCATCTGCGGATCAGCCCTATTCATCATTGATTGGGAGAGACAGACGCGGGATCGTTTTACTCCATTAGCAGCAGGACCGGACCCGGGCCCTTTATTGTAAATGAGGGGCACAATTGTGCGATCTGTCACCGAAAGCATTGGAGCCGTCAGGAGAGAGAGGACTCAGATGTCACCAGTAGACGCAGTGTCTCGCTCTCGAGGAGAAGGAAAGACATGCTCATGGTTTCAGAGTCACAGACGATCCGCTTCTGCACATCACGAAACGTCACGACCGACCAATATAATGAAGACTCGTGCATGCATAATGTTTGATATTTAATTCAAATCCCACTCTGGTAGTTTAATAGACGTTTGGTTTAAATCGTTGGTTTATGAAGTGCATTAACTTGTATTTCCTCCTCATTCTGCTGTGGAGAATGTCTTGTTTCTCCCACTTGAATAATTCACGTCATTCACTCCCTATTAAAGAGTCAAATCTCCTCCAATGAGACAAATGTGAACACACACAGAACAAACATAAAATCTTTTACTCTTCGATTAAGATACAAAAAGTATTTTTTTAAAAGAAAGAAAGAAAGTAGAAGAGAAAGAAAACGAGAAAGGAAGGAAGGAAGAAAAAAGAAAGAAAGAGAAAGAAAGAAAAAAGAAAGAAAGAAAAAAGAAAGAAAGGAAGGAAGAAAGAAAGAATGAAAAATGAGAACGAAAGGAAGAAAGAAAGAGAAAAATGAGAAAGAATGAAAAAAGAAAAGAAGGAAGGAGGGAGGAAGAAAAGAGAAAGAAAGAAACAAAAAATAGAAAAAAAAAGAGAAAGAAAGGAAGGTAGGAAGAAACAAAAAAGAGAAAGAAATAAAAAAAGAGAAAGAAAGAAAGGAAGGAAAGATGAAAAAGAGAAAGAAAGAAAGGAAGAAAGAAACAAAAAAGAGAAAGCGAAAAAAAGAACCAAACAAACAAAGAAAAAGAAAAAAGAGAAAGGAAGAAAGAAAAGAGAAAGAAAAAAAGAGGAAAAAAGAAAGAAACAAACAAAGAAAAAGAAAAAAGAGAAAGGAAGAAAGAAAGAAAGAAAGAAAAAGAAAAATGAGAAAGAATGAAAAAAGAAAGGAAGGAAGGAGGAAGAAAAGAGAAAGAAAGGAAGAAAGAAACAAAAAAGAGAAAGCGAAAAAAAAGAACCAAACAAACAAAGAAAAAGAAAAAAGAGAGAGAAAGAAAAAAAGAGGAAAAAAGAAAGAAACAAACAAAGAAAAAGAAAAAGAGAAAGAAAGAAAGAAAAAAGAGAAAGAAAGGAAGGAAAAAAGAGAAACAAACAAAGAGAAAGAAAAAGAAAGGATGAAAGGAAGGAAGAAAAGAGAAAGGAAGAAGAAAAAATAAAGCAAAAGAGAAAGAAAGGAAGGAAAAAAAGAGAAACAAACAAAGAAAAAGAAAAAGAGAAAGAAGGAAGAAAAAGAGAAAGAAAAAGAAAGGATGAAAGGAAGGAAGAAAAGAGAAAGAAAGAAAGAAAAGAGAAAGAAAAAAAGAAAGAAAGAAGGGCTGCACAATTAATCGAAATTCTAATATTACAAATACAGATGCTACAATTATGTAACGGTTCAAAGGTGCAATTACAAAACAGATCTAATTACATTATTCTGTGTTCTATTCTACAGCTTTTCTTAAGGGTTTTTCCATTGTTTTAGTATAACATTATAATACCATGCATATTTTTTGCTTTTTTAGGTTTAAAGAAGAAACCAAACCAATCTAGAGTTGAAATTTGAGGCGTAATGCTATAGAAAAGCATTACAGGTTTTTCAGGAAGAGTGTTTTCAGCTCGTTTATTTTATTTTAATATAAATATATGGCATGAAGTGTCTTCAAACAATGGTATAAAGCTATTCAAAACATCATTCAATGTAAACTGTTATAATCGTAATTAATATCAAGGGAATAATCAAATCGTGCAGCCCTAAGTTATAGGGATTTTTGTGTTAAAAAAATGTATATGTAGTATTGTTTTTTTTAATAATTATTATTTATTTATTTATTTATTTTTTGGCCTTGGGACTACAAATGAAAATTAGCCAATGTGCTAAATCTGGCACATTTCACATTGATTTTATTTACACGGTTTAGTTTTTAGTTTTTTTGTTTTTTGTATTGTCTTTTTATTTTTTTACATTTTTTTTACATATTTTACATATTTTTACTTTTTTACACTTGTATATTTTTATTTTTATGTATTTTTACACATTTTTATTTGTTTTATTTTTGTGTTTTTTATTACTTTATTTTTTTTTTACACATTTTTATTTTATTTACATTTTTTTATGTATTTATTTATTTTGTTAACAATTTAAGGTTTTATTTATTTTTTTACATTTTATTTACAAACAAATACTCTGAAATTAATTTCCTTTTCTCCTGATGTCACCTAGGCCTAATAATGTTAGTTAAAGTTAACAACCAATAGACAAATAAAGCATTATTTTAGCAAAATCTCATTCAGGTCTGACCCCATTCTGGAATAAAACGCACAGTTTTCACATCTCAATCAACTCCTAATAGACAAAAAAATAATAATTTCCTTATTGAATAACTAGTTTCACTCAGAAAAACATCAGATCACAAAGTTCAGTGCTCGATATAACACGCTATCAGTTCCTGGCCAATAATCACACATCTGGAAAAGCCTGGCGAGAAATCTGATCCACAGTTTAAAAAAACAATATTATTATTAGGTATCACGAGTCCTTTGATTCTTAAAGTGGCTCAAAAACACTTATATAGATGAGAAACTAAATCTGCTGCTCATCTGACAGCGATGAAGAGCTCAAACTCACAGCTATGATCACAGTCTGATGCACATCAAGCACACGCCAGCTTGTTTTATTACAATTCATCTCCAAAGGTCTGTTATAAAGCACCTCTCACAAAACCACACGGTGTTTTCTCATTAGAGGAACAACACTGACCTCCAGTGGCTGCAGACAGACATTCAACCAGAAAAAAAAAAAATAATTTTTCAAGTAAAATGAGACAAAAACACTGATTAAGAAAATCATTTTAAGAGTGCACACAGACAGATTTGTCAAATATGATGAATGTAATCAAGGCAGACTGAATAATAAGGCTGAGGTTGATGGGATAATACCAGTCATTATTCACAGACAATGAATGCCGTAGTTTGAAAGCTCACACATGCATGTATAAATACTGCTAACACACCAATGCAAAAAGAGCTACAGTTGTACAGACGTACTCAATCGCTCAATGAGAGAAGAGAACGACAGAGAAAGAGAAAGGAGTCGCATAAAAAAAAACAAACACAGTGAAAATGGCTAAAAAACACAAAATCCTCTCTCCTTCTGTCTGGATCCTCTGACCATTTCAGCACGCGAGCAAAGAAACGCTACACACATAAGATGCACGTCTCAGAAATAAACTAGTCGCCAGGTTAGATTTCTACTCATACAGAAATCTAATATATGACATACATTACAGAGCCCTAAATCGAGAGTCATATTGCAACATATATATTAACTATAAGGTGATATATATCATTTTCACATATCTACATTTTCTGGGTAGATGAAGATATAAGTTTATAAAATTTGCAAGTTTTACTATAGGGATTTAATAAATGCACATATGTTAATATCTATATGATGATTTTTTTTTTTTAGGTATTATATGTAGCAACCATATACAGATTGTGAACAATGTATATTTTATTTATATGTGCAACTATTAAAACGATATATATATACAAAAAATCTATATATTTTTACTTTTTGTTATTTTTGCATTTCTTATTACACATTTTTTATTTAGTTATATTTATGTGTATTTTTTTATTAATTTTTAACGAATGAACGGATACTTCGTCTCTGAAATGAATTCCCTTTTCACCTGGCATCATGTTTTTGTAATAATAATTTTTTTAAATACATCAATTTTTTTTTACTCATATAATAACATGCATTGACTAGGGTTGTAAAAAGGTGGAAAATTTCCATTAAATTTTGGAAACTTTCCAGGATTTTTTGGAATATTCCAGAGATTTTAGGAAAGTTTCCGGAAATTTTCCACCCCTTTGCAACCCTAGTATGGACAGGTTTTAGGATGGATATGCATGCACATGACATATACGTCCAAAAATGTATTACACATTCATAAACATACATTTGTATGGGCTAGATATATGTTAATATATGAAATTGTTCAAGTTCCTAATTTCATACGTGTTTTTACTTCATATGACAATATTTCAAATGGAAACATGTATATATATATATATATATATATTTATTATTATTACATATGCATATGGGTATTTTAAGCGTGATTCACCATTCACCAATCAGATGCATTTCTAAGCAATTCATGGATATCACCGAATCAGCTGACAGAAATTCAACAAATAATCAGCCTTGCATGACATAAAACTTCCATCGTTCACAAAAAACCTACAGATTCTGAATAATCACATGAGCGCTGCTCACAGCAGATGAGCAAAGTGCTGTAAACTATATTAAAAATTTATTTTTAAATGCATCCTGTTTAAAGCAGCACCGCTAAAAGAGAACAATTCACACAAAGCCACTAATCAGCCTCAATGACAAACTAGTGCTTGATGCAGAACTCACCTCTTATGCGTAACATGAGGGTCTATGCACGTACCAGTTTGTTCTCCTGCATGTAGATCCTCTGTAGTTTGCTGCACCCCTGCGCCAGCGCCACCAGACCCTCGTCACTGATGCTGTAGCACTGGCCGAAATGCACGTCCTTCAGCTCTTTGCAGTGTTCGCCCAACTGCACAAAACACACAAACATGCATTCGGTTCAGTACAGCCATACGACTGGATACAACAAAGCTTCACAAACTTTTTTTTCCCCATCAGCCGAACCCCTATGAGCCACCATAATAGATCAAATATTATAACAGATAAAATAATAAAATAAAATTTTGCAACACATTCGCATGTTGACGGTTCTCTTACACCGATCAAATTCAAGTCCTTTTAAGGTGCATTTTTATGCAACTAACAGTTGTGGTAAATTACATATTAGCATAAAAACATTAAATCAGAAGTTGCATATGCAGATCTGCACTGCTTTGCTCAGATATATTTGTTTAGATTTTTTTAAATACACTATGCAATATTAATTATTAATTATATAATATAGTAAACAATTTAATAGATTATAGAGTATTCTGCCATTACAACCAAGCTGTATAAAGCGTAAGTATCCTAACCATATTATCCTATGTTATCTAAAACATACACTGTTTAGTCAGAGAGTGAATTATTATGAAAGCAATGCAATTACAATTTCAAGCAGTTTCAAGCACTTTAGCCAAAAATTCAAGCACTTTTCAAAACTTGAAAATATGGAAATGCAAGCATTTTCAAGAATTTCCAGCACCCGTATGAACCCTGCTAGTTAATGGTCACATGCAGCAGGTAAACAAAAATATTTCTTTCTTTTTTTTAGTGTATAAGTGTTTTGATTGTTTTAATTTTAAATTTTTTTTTTTAAATTTTTATTTTAAATATTTTTTTTTTAAATTGTATTTTTTTCTTTTAAATATTTTTAAAAAATATTTTTATTATTTCATTTTAAATTTTTTATATTGTATTATTTAATTTTAATTTTAAATATTTTTTTTTATATTTTTAACAATTTTACATAATAAAAAAAACTTATTTTTTTATTTTAAACATTTTCAAAATATTTTATTTTTATTATTATACCATTACCCTGACATGAAATTACACAGACCATAACATGATAATGGTCATACAACAACAAATTAGAATATCACATAAAACATGGATGGAAATGGTGCTTTATTTGCAAATCTTCACTTCCTGGGAAACTGGCGCTGAGGATTAATAAGTATATTACTTGCTTTTCATCAGTTGTAATAACAAATGCTGTTATGTGACTTTTTTGTCACGCTTTCAGTAAATTTGTTGCTTTCATATTTTATGAACACGTTTTCTTATCGAATAAAAAAAATATCCTCCTGAATGAAGCGCATATACGTTTTTAATGTGCATTTTACGATTTTCCAGTGTTTTTTAATGCAATATCCCAAAATTCACATTAAAATATGCACATAGAAACATAGCTGTTAACTCATAAGCACACATATTTATCCCACGCATCCATCAAGTGACTTTAGATCTGCAGCTCACCAGTTTGAGAGCATGGTCAGTGAGTTTGTCCTGGTTGCCGACATGCACTTTCTGCAGGAGCGGGCAGTGGATGGCCACGGTGCACAGAGACACATCGCTGAGCTGCTTACAGCGGTACGCCGTGTATTTGATCAGACCGGGACAGTTAGACGCCAGCGAGCAAACGCCGTGATCCTGAACGTTACGGCAGTCGGAGATGTTGATCTCAGTGACGTTCTGCCTCCGGGACGCGATCTTCACCAGGAGATCGTCTTTAACCTGCGCTCACACAGACAACACATCAATGTTATCTTCATATTATTATATGTGACCCTGGAGCACAAAACCAGTCACAAGGGTCAATTTCACGAAATTGAGATTTATGCATCATCTGAAAGCTGAATAAATAAGCTTAGGACAATATTTGGCCGAGATACAACTATTTGAAAATCTGGAATCTGAGGGTGCAAAAAACATATAAATATTGAGAAAATCATCTTTAAAGTTGTCCAAATTAAGTTCTTAGCAATGCATATTACTAATCAAATATTAAGTTTTGATATATTTACGGTAGGAAATGTACAAAATATCTTTATGGAACATGATCATTACTTGATATCCTAATGATTTTTGGCATAAAAGAAAAATGTATAATTTTGACCCATACAATGTATTGTTGGCTATTGCTACAAATATACCCCAGCGACTTAACACTGCTTTTGTGGTTCAGCGTCACGTATACCATTTATAAATTTTTTTTAATTAGCTTTTATTTTTTTCCATTTTAATTTTAGTCATTTTGTTTAGTGATTGTGATGTTTAGTGATTTTTGCTTTTGTCATTTTATTAGCTTTTTTTATACATTTCTATTTAGCTTTAATTTCTATTTCGGTTTTAGTTTTAGTAATTTTACTACTTGCACTTAAATTTCAGTTAGCTGCCAAGGCAACACTTTAGTGTTTTTGAGCTAATATTTATGTTTTATTTCAGCTTTATTTTAATAAAAAAATGAAAACTATTTTTATTAGTTTTAGTAAACAATAACTTAAAACTTAAAAAAATAAAATAAAATTGCTGCCATTATACAAATGCATAAAAATACAATAAAGCTTTCAGCTACAGTTCATTAAAAAAAATTCAATAAAAAAGCCTATTTGCTAAACAGTAATTAGGGATGCATGATTTGGGGGGAAAAAATCTAATTGTGATTTTTTTTTTCTGATAAAAATTGATTGCGATTTAAAACGCAATTTTTGTTTTAAAACCAGGTTTGCTGTACTTGTTTATAGGGCTGCACAATTTGGCCAAAATTATCATTATTTCTTATAATAATAATAATTATTATTATTATTATTAATAACAAAATAAAAACCAAAATAAATTTTACTATTGTAATATTTCAGTGTAAAATACAAACAAATTGAGTATTTAAGAAATATAATAATAATCACAACTGTAAAATTACCATTCTAATATTTTTTTCAAATATTAAACCCCTGAACTTTTATTTTGACTGAAAACTGCAGGAATTTTTTTTTTTTTGGCTAAGTGCTTTTCATTACAAGTTTGGGAACGTGGTTGGTACACGTTGAGTTCCCAAATGCTTTTCTTTTGATTAATCATGCAGCTCTAATAGTTATGCACACACCACAGATAATTCTATAACTAACGCAGTTCTATAAATAAGAGATAAGCACAAACCTGCTGGAGGCCGCTGAGATCGATCTGTTTCCAGAACTGGAAGTCTAAGCAGAGATCGCGCCAGTACTTACAGACCAGAGACGCACCCAGACATCTCTCCTTCACCGACAGGTGAGAAAACACCTGAGAACACATTTCACACGGGGTTCATCGACAGCTCATCTGTTCAAATACATGAATGAATCGAGATCCGTACTGAAATTAGGAAAAAATATTGAATCTGAGGATTTCAGCTGCAGGTTTATATCACGCTGCTCATTACTTTTGTACAAAAAATAGTTCTGGTATTGTGTTGGGGCACTAATTGATGTCCAAGCCACTGGTTTAAGGC